TGTCAACTATGCCTGATTGAACGTTGTTTTTATCAACAGGTCACAGACAAGATATCACAGTTTTGAGAATTAACAGTATTGACATCAGTCCCTCTACGTTATCAATCTCTTGATAGTCAAATTTGTCTGTTGCTTTTCTTATACAACTTGTGCATACAGTAATATATGGAAAGACTTGATGATGCTGTACAAATTGGATATAAACCCTTATGCCATTGTCACTGTCTAAGAAAGGAGTTATACATTCATAAGGTCAAATGTTTCAAGAGGTCAATGCCTTCACGAGAAATTTAATAATTGTAGATCATTAAAAAAGTCTGTTAACTTGAAAATATCAAAATCAAGTTGACTATATAGATAAGTAACACGTGTTGTGACAAGCTCCTGTGTGGATGTTAGGCTGATTAATATGTTTTTATTAAGTTTTGTGTAGTGATATTATTTCAATAAAAATATACATGTTCAGAAGTTAGTTTGAAAGTTATTTTTGCTGTAAAGTCTCATTTACATCCTAGAACCTTTGCAAGGTATTGCAGTTGTGGAGAATATCTGTGYATGATAGGAATTGATCCATCTTGTGCTGTTTTTACTTACTTTTTTGAGGGATTAACATCATTTATGAGCAACTAACATTAAACAACAGATCTTTTTTCATAACAGCACATGATTGCAAAGGTTCGATGATGCAAGTGGGCTTAATGAGACTAAAATTAAAGAATATTTTTTACGTGGTAGCATTAGGAACATTGCACTAACTGGAAAGAAACTGCTTTATTACCTTTTACTGATGTTATCTTAGATATTTTAAAACATTTGAGATTCAAGATTTCTGAKAACTACCATACTACTACTAATATTGTGATTAATCCATACACCAGTGCTGATTTCCCAGATATTTTACAACAATTTTGAGATTTAAGAACTACAACTTTGAACAGCAAATCAATGTCAGCTAGACTCCTGTTTCATATCCTCTATTTTCAATTCATGGGCTTTGAAACCATTAGTAATATTACTGTGCTCAGAGTCGGCCACATCCATTGTTTCATCATCTGTGGCATCCTTAATATCACCATTTACTTGTGGTTGCATCTGTGGCTCACTCTCAACTGAAATAACTGATGTATTTTGTGACTTGCTGAATTCAACAGCAAGATCTGAGGAAGGTGAGAGGCCACACATGTGAGTGACAACTGCTTTGTCCCAGCCACTGGTTAAGAGAGAGTCATCCAATGGACTCCATGACAGCCCTCGCACAAAATCTGAATGAGTATCACTTCGTAATCTGAAAAAACATGATTTTAACTTGACATTAGTAGATACTCAATCAAATGCTTATAATGAATATGTTTTTGTTACTCACACAGCCATGTTATTTATGACATTCTGTACATAAACAATGTTGTCATCTGAAACTGATGCTAGCCATTCAGGACTGAAAAGATAAAACAAGCATTACATTAAATAAACTCATTGTTAAAATCTTATATAACAATATTGTGGATGTTCATGATGTGCAATACCTTCTTGGAGAGAAAGCCACTCTATTAACAGTCCTTTCATGAGGTGTATAACTAAATATAATGTTAGTTGTGTCTTTTATGGAATATACATGCACACTGCCATCTTGAAAGCCTGCAGAATGATTGTAATAAACATCACAAATCACTTGAATAATACAGGGATCCCAATGATGAATTGAAAACCAATCAATATTACTAGTATAACTTGAAACTTTTAGCAGCACAGAAGTTCGTCAATGCAGATCTTAACAATACTTATTCACAACAAAGGCACCCCAAAAATAGATCCGTATCATTTAAAAAACACAGGGATCCCATACATCTTTGTGACACAGGTATCCCATCAGATAACAATTACAATGAACAGAAGAAAACACAAGAAAAAAAACGAGAAATTAATCCTACCTGATGCAAAAATACTTGAATCAAGAGGACTCCAATCAATGCAGTATGGAATACTATCATAATTAGTAGGATCTGGAAAAKATTAGCAGCTTAATAATAGCAGCAAAATAGACAAATAAAAAAAAGATTATTTACTTACCAGTTAATCGCTTGGCAGGTCTGGCTTTCCTGGTATCCCATAATACTACACTGCCATCCTATGTACAAAGATAACAAGTATTGAAGAAAAATAATGTGGAATAAAACTGAAGAACAGTCATCATTGTACAGAAAGTAAATCAGATATTTATGATTTAATGTTTGCAAGATTTTAGTGTTTTGTAAGTTCACATAYAAAGAGGGAAGAGAGATGCGACCTGACATGCTGTGGAAATACTGTACCTCTGAAGAWGAGATAAATAAATCTTGTTCTGTACGACTGCAATCTATATCTAATACACTTCCACTGTGCCCTATAAAACAAAAGTCAAAACTTAGAAAAGACTATAAGCAATTATGAATAATATTAGCAATTAAACGACTAACCTTTGTATGTTTTTATACATTGTTCTGAGTTGAGATCCCACAACTTTATACTAAAGGCAAAAAAATAGCGTGATAATAAACTTTAWATTTTTGTAAACAAGCTTTGCATTTCATTAAAATGATCAAAAATACTCTGTATAACAAAACATAATAACTTATAAGGTATGCAAAACCCACCTCCCCCCTCCCCCCTCTTGGCCACTCTTGACTCCACCCAAATTTACATGGCAACCAAAGGATTTATCTATTATATAAGTATGCCATATTCAAATGTACCAATTATAATACAAAACTAAATAAAAATCCCTTAAGATGATAAGTTGAAGAATATTATCAAAGAAAATAAGCTATTTTAGGGTTTTATTTTTAGAAGGAAAATATGTCTTGTACACCAAAATAGAATTTCACAGAAGTCAGTTTTCTATTTCACTTCATTTAAATGACAAATAGTCACCAAGTTTTATCACCTTTTATCACAACTACCGCTTATAATTCTCCTTTTTGCACAATCGACAGCTATTGTATTCACAACATCATCGTGTTCTGTTAGKGACGCAAGGTTTTCTAATCCTGGCAAACTACCACTTTGTGACCAGATTTCTACTGAACCATCGTCTAGTGCAATCACCATTTTAGTTGAATCAAGCCATTGGACATCAGTTATTCCAGATTCAGTATATGTTCGGCCGTTACTGTACTCGGGGTCGGGGGCTTTAGTCGAGTCTTTGAATGTCCAAAGGCACCCATTCCATCTCCTGTCTGTCAGAGATGACGACGCGATWGCGAGGGTACCATCTAAAAACGAATTTCAAGAAACATTGACTCCAAAAATTCGTAATCCTAATCTCTGAACTGTGATTTTTATAGATTAAAGAGAAGTTRATACCTTGTGCGTGAGCAATCGCGTCTATGTGTTGATGAAGAGACGATGGAAGAACCTCCATTTTGTTTTTCAGCACGTGCATGTGTGACAGATGGTGTCAGCGGTAATCGAGTATGAAGGAATGTTCCTGTCTGGGAGTCCCCTAGTGCAATTTGTTTCAAGTTGGCGCYATTTGATTGGCTGAGCACATTTTGAATCAACTTTTTTTGTAGATAACTTTGATTTTCCCTTGTATAACTAACCCTTTGACTACATTCAGTAGGGTACTCATTAATCAACCTGTGGAACTTCGATCTCTAAGATCTCAACAGACAATTTCTGAGATGTGCAGACACTTTCATAAGATATTGAAAGCGCATGCATATTGTAGTTATTTTCAMGAAAAAATAAAGGAATCTTTGGAARGCTACCATTGCAACTGCAATATTTGAAATTTTCTGTTAACTCTGAGGTTGTGTATTGACTGCAAGAGCTAAATTACCCAACGTACCCCATTAGACATTCATAATCATATCCACAATGCTGAATATTAAAACTTTTTATTAATACATTAATTTRCTAACAAATTGTACAAGAATTATAGTTATTTTGTTTATACTTTGCTCTTCACATCATTCTTGCTGTTGTTGTTGTATTTGCCATTAAAAAATGTGATGTAAATGGAGATGTCATACATATATTCCAACCCAGAGAAGCAGAAAAAGAACACCAAAACCCATGAAGAGRGAAGCAACAAGTGCAACGAGGAGTTCTTTGTAGATGTCTCTGGTGTATTTTGTGGATGTTACTTCATAACTGTTGTCAATGTTAAAGAGTGATATGAACAAAACACACAAAAAAATATATCTCAATGAACAAATAATTATATAAATATGAAATTCATTCAATTGTTCAATCAATCAACTAATTAAGGAACAAATGATAAAAGATTTTAGAGTAACAAAAGAAATAACTGCAAGAAATTGAAAAGGACCGAGTAAACATTACACACAGGGAGCCCACCCTAAATCATTCAATGCCAACATGAAACAGCACTTGAACTAAAAAAGGAAAGTACCAAAGTCGTTTTCTATTACCCGAGAGTAAACATTAATGTTGTTAGAACGATCTGTTATATAGTATTGGTGCAACTTCAACAAGTAAAGCTCAYCGCAAAAATTTCTCATTAACACACACGTAAGCACAAGAAATCTGGTATAATAAATCAAAACAAACYCGTATTTTATCAGATCAGAGGATACACGAAGAACCATGCCATAAAGAATATCCCAATAGCCAGCAATACTATCGTTAGATGTGGAAATACAGCTGGATTAATAGGACTTGCATAGCGATTCATCGACTCAACCAGAACGTCCTCCTAAAAAAAGACGGTCACAAACTTCTTAAAGAATAAAATTATTTCGAAGACAATTTAAAAAATAAATCAACCAGGGTGTAGACGGATAAATATAGTACGTGTTCAAAGTAATTCATAGACAATAGAATAAAGGATGTCTGAGATATTGAAGGATTGAATACCTACTTACCATCTTGGACAAAATATAAACAAAGAGCTATGGAGAGAAAGAAATTACCGCTGACAAATCATTCGTGGCGTAGCGTCGGCTCAATTAACCTCAGTTCGAGTCCATATGCGCAAACTCTTCTCAAAATATTTCAGTTTCCTTAGATAAAAGTAGCAAGCTTTTAAACACATTCAAAGAAATAGTATTGTTGAACAAAATTATCAAAAATATTAGGAATAGACAAAAAKGTAAAGATTARCGAAGATTTCCCGAGACACCTCCGACAGAARATTGATCGATGTTTTAGTGTCCAGCGCCATGCTTATTTTGATGTGAGCTCGAYAAATGGGATCAAAGAAGAAGAAAGGAGGAGAGACATGGGAAAAAGGAGAGGATTCTTTGCAGGGCGTAATTCTAGCAGATAGCTTTAATTTCAAATTCTTACCAATCTCATTGGAAAAYCCGAGGGTAWGGAAATATTTTTATCATGTTAATTTCATGATAGTCAAATTCATCAATGATTACTTTGATTTTTCACATTTCTTATAGTAAGAATTACTTTKATTATTTGGATTTAACTAAAAGCAAGTGATTGTAGTGAATTTTAATGACATACATTRCATTGTGTTGTGACATCAGCTGATGTTGTATCATTTAAAAAGAACAATCTCTCACCTCTCCCATGGATGGCTCAGACGAGGAACTGAAGCCTTCGATGACATTAAATCCGCTACATTGTTGGATTCCAATTTTCAAGGATTCCAGATTCTGTGTTCTCTTACATTTTTCTACTGCTTCTCACTAATTATAAGACCTCCCCCTTCCATTTATGAAATTTGCCCCCCCCACTTCCTTCACGATGGGATTCCCCAAGAATGGAGACATTAAGTTAACCAGCAAGAACCATCCCTTCCTCATAAAACACACAAAACAATATTTATTACTGTTAATTCAGAAAACCACAACAATTTTCGAAAACTGAATCATTATAAATCTTGTGAAGGCCCTGCCACAACCACCACCTAGAAACTGTTTTTTTTTTCTTTTTTTTTTTCCTGCGTTTTACTTGCAAATCTTTTTTTCCAGGCTTTGCTACCATTAGTGAATTGTCCCTTACTGGACTATACCATAGAATTCCTGGTAGAGGCTGGTGTAGAGGAAATATTTGTATTTTGCTGTGCACATGCTGACCAGATTGTCAAACATCTAAGGTAATATTGACATAGGTAGTGAAAGTGGCTGATAGTGATGATGAATATGATATTGTTCATGGTGATTCGGTAGCTGATCTACTGGTATGSACTCTATTCCTAGAATTGATGATGATAGTTTTGATTATCATGATTTGATGATAGTGATGTTGACAATAACAGTGATGATCATAATGATGATGATGATACTGATTGTAATCCCATTTTATAGTAACTCTAAATGGACAGGACCAAGGTCACAGTGTGAGATTCATACAGTAGTTGTCGAAGACTGTTTATCTACTGGTGATGCCTTAAGAGAAATTGATAGAAAGGTACTAGATTAACTCTATAATGGAGTATGTTTCAGAACAATGCAATAAATGGATTCTTGCTTGGTGGAAATGGTTGCTTTACTTTAATGTTTAGTAATCATGGTATGTTATTGAGTGTGCCTGACCCTTAGGGTTGCAAGATAATGAAGTCAGAGTAATTGCTAGAATAACTAATGTTTTCATTGTCAGTCTCTCATCAGGTCCGACTTCATTCTAGTCAGTGGTGATGTAGTYTCAAATATGAAGTTAGAACAAGTTTTGAATGAACACAAGTAAGTCATGAAATTTTAACTTCTGAATGTGGTTAAGTTTCACTAAAGTGCTGTTATATTTATTAGAGTCAGGAAAAAAGAAAAGGCATCTATTATGACCATGGTATTTAAAACTGCTAACCCWGGACACAGAACCAGGTACTGTCAAGATACTCCTACTGTAAATCATGCATTGAAACGTATTCTTTTAAATGTCCATCCATCTATTCAGTTCTCTTTTATTCTGTCATMTATCCAATTAGTTGATCTTTCATATCTTCCCTTGATTATCCAGTATTTTTCCATAAATGTTCAATTATCTATTCATCCTGGATTTAGTTATGTTACTTTTATTAATCCATCCATTTATTAATTTTTCTGTCCATTTTTTTTTCATCATGTATTTGCTCAGATTTCATTTATCCATTCATTTACTTTTTCATTCATTTATTTGCTTATTGTTAGGTGTAGAGAYGATGATACAGTAGTTGCTTTAGATTCTTCAACTAACAGAGTGTTGCACTGTGAAAGGACAAAGAAACGAAAAAGATTTGCTTTTCCTCTGGTAAATGACTTCCAAATTAATTGTCTTGTGTTATATGACAAATAGCTTCACACCCTCTCCCCATAAGGTTTACTTTTGTTTGTTTTTGAATCACGTAAATGTTTGTAATAATTATTGTCTCATCCTGTTTCAGAGTCTGTTTGCTGACAATCCAAACATTCAGTTACGATATGATCTTCTTGACTGTAATATATGTATTTGCTCCACTCAGGTAACAAGAACAGCTAGCTTTCTCTGTTTTCACTATTTTCACTTGTGTAATTTTAATTATGTTATTGTTTAAAGGTATAACTGTAATGTTTTGGTGTTTGTAGGTTCCTCATCTGTTTACAGATAATTTTGATTACCAAACAAGACATGATTTTATCAAAGGAATCCTAGTCAATGAAGAGGTCAGTAGCAAACACTTGATAATTTACTGCAGCATTTGCTTTTGTCTTGTTTATTAACAAACACAGTTTTCAACATGTTTTCTTTCAGATTATGGGCAACCAAATCCATTGTCATATTATTAARGATACTTATGCTGCTAGAGTGTCCAACCTGTACATGTATGATGTTGTTTGGTAAGAAATCAGTCAAAACGTCTTAATCAGACAGTGAGATGACTTGTTTATAATTCTTATTTCAGCAAAGATATTTTACACCGATGGGCATATCCTATTGTACCTGATAATAGTTCATTCTTCATGGAAGATTCTTATAACTACACAAGGCATAATGTATACCTAGATAAAGACTTATCTCTTGCAAGGTATGTTTGATAGTTTCATCCATCTRTTTATTCTTTTCTTCACTTATTCATTTGTTCATTTGTTCATTCATTCTAGTGGCCAAATTTTTTTAAGTATTGTCGTGGTTTCTGGTAATTTAGACTCTTTGGGGATTTTATTTCCCTTCTTTGCCTATTCTTTCTTTCTTTCTTTCAATTTCATTCATGATTTCATCCATTCAAGTGTCTGAAATTTCTTATTGTAGTTTCTGTTATTCGTTTATTTATTTTTTCTCTTTAGGGGCTGCATAATAAAAGAAAATTTAGCCATTGGCTGTGGTACATCAGTTGGAACAGGKACTCTCATCTCAAACTCTGTTATTGGAAAGAACTGTGTTATAGGTGAGTGGCTATATTTATTATAAATGTTCCTCCTAGAGCAAACACGTAAAGAGGTTACTTAAAAATGGTGTCAGTATTAGATACCAATGATACATATTGAAGAGCGATACTCAATGTTTATCAACAAACTCTTTATGTTAATATACCAACCACATGATCAGAATTACTTTTCACAAGTCACTTTGTTCTAAGAGCCAATCATCTTCTGGTTGGCACATGAATACAAGGGTCACATTGAGTACATTTGTTTTTATGTTTTTTTCAGGTGATAATGTCCATATACAAGGAGCTCATTTATGGGATAATGTTGTCATTSAAAACGACTGTCACATTACAGACTCCATACTGTGTACTGGGGTTCATATCAAGAAGTGAGTTTATCTACAAACAATGTAATATTCATTTAATATTTATGTAATATATACAATATGAGCGGGCGAGCTGTATGTAATATACAACTCTCTTCATGGGCTATGATTTCTATTGTGTTTTGCCTTATGAATATTAATGAGTTTTATAAGTGCAGTTATTAGGTATTGAAAAAAGTAGTTTGGCATGAGAATATACACCTTTTGACTGAAGAACACTTTCAATTTCTGTCTCTTGCCCCTCTTAGACTCACTACTACAACCTACATTTTGATTGTTCAAGCATCTTTTACTGTAACTTTTTATTTTTATGTTTTCTTTCAGAAATGTCACTATCAGTGGTGGGTCTTTGATCTCATTCAATGTAAGTGCACCCTGCCAAGATATATACAAATTTGTATTTTGCAAGTCATTAAGCTCTGGTAAAAATAATTGATAATCATTTGACAGTAGTCATTGCATAAATAAAAGACGTTTTGAAGGGACAAAATTAAATTATGAACATACAACTGAATGCATAAAGGTCATCAGTGCGAYATAACCTCATAAAAGTAATAAGTTGACAAACTGTTGCTCTTTCCAGGTTGTAATAGGACCTGACATTACTCTCAAGCCAAGAGCAAAAATAACATTAAAACAGAAAGAAGAAGATGACGACTTTGGTATGGATGATCTTAGTCTGGAAGATAAAAAAGAAAATGAGAAAGATACAGGTTTTAATCCAGAGGAAGTTGGCAGTGAAGGCCAAGGCTATGTATGGCTTGACGACAATGATTCAATGAGTGATGATGATGAAGATCAAGTACAAGATATATGGGGTAAGTCATCATATAAAGATATCATCATCATCATAGCTCCTCGTGTCCTCGTGTCCTCGTGCCAGTAGGCGCATTGAAGACCTTCAACCCCTCTTTCATCATAAGTGATTGTTGGGAATGAAGAACATTTGATACAATGCTAGTGATGACAATCAGGGCTCAAAATAAGAGGAGGTCAAATGACAATGTCCTTCCAAATTTGCTAAATGTCCTGTCTAATCAGAATTTGAAAGGACATATTTACCATATGTTTAAAAATTAATCATGACCTTGCAAAAAAGTGTTTGGAACAGCTTTATGCACTGCGTAGGTCCAGACATTATTTCAAGCCTTGGACAATTTAAAATGTATGGTATATTTCCAGGTACTGAACATCAAAGTTCAAGTGAAGATGATATTTCTTCAATTATGAGTGAAGAAAGTGATGCCCCTGAAAGTCCACCACCCGAAGACTCCAGATGTAAGCAAACCATATATTTTCTTGTTTCCATTTTCATTCATTTCCTCTCAATATCCATTTATTCTCATTCAAAAAGCAGTCATTCTAATGGTGATAACTTCCCTCTTTTTTCCAGTATTCTATGATGAAGTGCTTGAAACCATACGCCATGGTGTTGCCGATAAAGTATCTCCAGACAACATGATCCTTGAGATCAATGCCTCTAAGTATGTATCAATCTTCTTTTGAAACAATCAGTGCGTATCCAGGACATGGGGGGTGGGGGGCGGGGGGTTGAAGGGAGAGGGGACCTTATATACCAAATGGTTACTATGACATCATATGACTTCAATATGATGTAATATCAATCTATGGTTTTCGATTTTTTTGGSTTTGAAAGAGGGGGTCARGGGCACCCTGTGTCTCCCATCCCTMGATACGCCCCAGCTAATGAATACAAGCACACAAYAGTCTGTGTACCAWGATGTTARTGTAACCATTTCCTTAACCAAGATGATTGTGRCWTGGCCTTGACTAACATTGGATATGTTGACATTGATATTTCAGGTTTGCGTACAATGTAACTTTCCGTGATGTTAATCAATCTATGGTGAAGGCACTTCTTGAYTCATCTCTCTCTGATAGTTCAATGGATAAAAAACAACAAGCTCAATCACTAAAAAAGGTTTGTAAGTAACTACGGATTAAAATATTCATCTCTCAAATCCATTAACCTGAGAAGTTGATGATACAMAACTMTATTTGAGATACCTTTGCCAAATAACATCATGCACCGAATAATCAATTATTTCTCAACTTCTCAATCTGTGGTGTATCCATTTTTTCCATAGACTATTGGCCATCTCAAGCCTGTGTTAGAAAACTATATCAAAGATGTGGATGGTCAGAAAGACTTGATCAACTATGCTGAGGTTAGATTGACATGTGACAATCATGTGACGTTGATAACGATATTGTCATCATTTTCACGATCAAGTCTGTTGAGTGATGATGTTTCGTTGGTAAATCCAGTGCTCTTATTTCTACTTATTCTTTTTTTTTTTTACAGGAGTTCTTTGCGCACAATCAATGGTGTAACGCCATGTTACAGATTTACCTCCATGTGCTATACAATGAAGATATCTTAGACGAGGCAGTGATACTCAGTTGGCATAGCAACCCAGGAACACATGACGACCATGTCGTAGAGTCACAAAAGAAGCCACTCAGAGAAATGGTATGAAATTGCTGCGTATTTTAAAAGTATGTTTTACATTAAACTATTGTATTTGCCTTTTTTATGCCGTGTTTTAGGTCTCTCCTTTTATCAAGTGGCTACAAGAAGCAGAAGAAGAAAGTGAAGACGATGATGATGACTAAATAACAAAAAAATGATGAAAGCTTATAAAATATGTTTAGTAAAGGCATAAATAAATTATTTCAATGGATTCTTTGCGTCTCGATTCTTTTTCGATCTTCTCTTCCTTGCTTCSAATCTAAATTCCATCTTTGACCCTTTTCAATTCCTTCTTCAATATTATTTTTCCTTCATTATTAGTTTTCATTCATTATTATTTTTCATTCATTAACGTATGTTTTTGCCCCTTTTAGTTCCTTTTGTTGTAGTAAACTTTTCATGCATAATAAGCCTCRCCTATCCTAAATTCTATTTCTTTGCTCTTTTTTTATTCTGTTACCCCTATTTCAATTGAAAACGCTTTGTTTAGTTATCCACTTTACCCTTCTTATGAAGGTTCTTGAGCAAATTTGTAATCATGCATCTTAATTCTTGTATCGAAAGCCTGACGTAACAGGAAAATTGAACACGAAAGTAGAAAGAAAATAATAGTATTAATGCTGTGCAAACACTCCAAACAGAGACGGGAAACTTTAAAAGTGCGTCTCCACGTAAGTTATTTGCAATTCACTTTGCTGTAAAAGAGTTAGTCTCTGSAAGGCTTGTTATTAAGACCATTCACCGTCAAAGAACTTGTACTGAATCAAGTGTTTAGAAATAAAGGTTGTATTGATGTTTTTTGTTGTTGTTGTTTTAGTTTATGTCGAAAGCTTTAAACATACACGAAAGTACCAAGAAAATAGTTTGAAACTTGCACTATTCGTATTATCTTAAATAATGTGCAAACACTCTCGAAACAAAGTGACGAGTTTTGAAAGTAGGACGCCATTTGCAATCCACTTAAGGTTTTACTTGCTTTCAAAGATTTTCTTCCCTTCAAACATCACCATTTCATCATTCTGCATTGTACTTCTCAGAATCAAGAGCTTTGAATCAGRAAGAAATGAAGCGTTCACTCATGTTCATCGCTTTCCTGGGAGTGGCATTTCTTTGTCAGGACGTTGTAGGACGATACATTGACGACGACGAGGTAATATAAAATCATGTCGAACATTCATTCAACCCTGGAATAAGAAAGTATCGTTCCAACTACCCTTGGATATAAAAAACTGGGTTGGCTCGCACTGGGAATGCATCTTAGCTGCATCCTGATCATTTTTGAAAAAAAAGAAAGGGAAGAGAAGGAAAGAAAAAAAGAAATTGCTCTTAATTAAATTTTCAATCACATATCTCGCACTATAGTGAAGTAGGACAAACCAACCAAAAGAGAAGCTAAAAATCTTATGAAACTAAAAGTTGATGACTTTTTTCGATAAATTGTAGCTAATGCCTCGTTTCTGTGTTGTGAATGACAGGTTGATGAGGATCAGGACTGGGAAGGTAAACTTATCGTGTTAATCCAAGTAAAACGTGTTTTAGTTCTCGTTCTTGCATGTRGGACCAAAGGAGGCGTCTAAAATTATATGTTTTTGTCATTCATTTATAGTTGTTTTTATTCTGAGAAGTATTGCATACTCATTACATTACCTAGATACCTATACAATGAAGTATTTTTGATATTCCACGACTTTTTGTGACGAAAGGCCTATGGGGCCTCTCGTCACAAATTCACAATATACTTGTAGCAGGCGTTCCTTGCAAGTCCTTAATATGTTAAATATGTTTAGTTGAAAATAAATCTCTAGAGAAAAACAAACAAAGTAATACAGCAATGAAAAGCATAAACGAAAAAGGGGAAAAAAAGAAAGAAMAAAAGAAAACAAGCAACAAACGAAAAAGAAACAATAAACAAGCAAAAAAGAAAAGTTCCAGCAGCAGGCTCGAACTCAGGACTTTCACTTCAGTAGAGGTTGTACCCCCCCTGACATACATAAGAAATAATGAAAATAAAAAACTAAAAAGATGGGACGATTCCCCCGAGACATTCTATGAAGCTGAGGCGMCGAATCGGCTTACGWTACGGTTAGAGATTTCYGCTCTTCCACGCTATCCCGAGTGAACATAAAACTTAGTCTTAACCAAAAGGCCAGGGAGTGAGGGGGTAGCCGCCCACTAGAGCATACCTTTAGCTACCCTCTTAGACCATCGTACTATGAAGACACTTAAGATATCTGATAGCTAATTGGGGTAGTCTATTCGGTGAAGTTCTATGCTAGATATATGACGTCACCAAAATCCTTAGGGAGCAGCGAGCCAATAAGAGCTCAGCTCAGGAATTTGCAAAAGATACATAATCATTTTTCAGTGGATTTATTATTTGATGGGGGGTGGGCCGGGGGATGGGTACCGAGTGCTGATTTGCGGCCGAATACCGATGTACTCGATGTCATGGGACGGCTTTCATCGAGCTGTTCAATTGTCGTTATTGTTTTCCAAATCATCACAGGAAAAAGTGTACAGTTATTTTATCAGTGAGACCTAGTAGTATTCGGATAAACAGCACTACAAATATTTGAAAATATCTCTTGAAGTTCCGGCTAAAGGTAAGTGGTTTCAGACCAGGAAGATACTAGTTGTTGCCAAAGACTTGCTGGGATTCAATGGAATACCTCTGAAACTCCAACATTACACTAAAAAAGTTCCACATTTTCGTTCTTGATGGTGCAAAAATACAGTTAAATGATTAAATATAAACAAAGTTTATCGAAGYAAACGTTCGAGAATTTATCTTGAGTTTATAAGCCAACAGATACGGAAAGATGTCTTTGACTAAAGCTTAATTAAAGCTCTAAGCAAAGGACTCCATGTCGTGGATGAAAATTCCTTTTCCGAATCTTTCAGACGGATATGTTTGTAGGCAGGGAAACAGGTTGCCCCGCGCCAGGGCCCCACGGGAGGAATGATCAACCATCACAATAGGTTCCTTGGCCCCTTGGAATCGCCGCCTGGTGTATATTTATAGGCAATTAACATAATGGTTGATCGCCACCTTGTAGTTCCGGTTCCTTGCAGCGTATGCACCTCCTTTTGCATGAAACTGTCACAGGGTACTAAATCCGCCATGCTGGATGGGAAAATTCCCACAGGGATCCCAATGAAGGTCAAAACAGAGAAAAGCCAAGCTTGACGGGCTGCGTTCCTTTTGTTTTTGAGGTTGTTTACATTCTTTTGCTATCTAGTATGGCGGATTTAGTACCATGTGACATTTCATGCAAAATATACCTATTCAGAAAACACTGAATACTGAAGATAATGTATTCCAAGACCGAAATGCATTGTGGGTCTTTCTATCACCGTTCAAAAGGAGTTTTCATGGTTTCAGAGGGACTATACCAGCTATGGTTGTAGTCAGGAACTTCCAAGGAAAGCAATTAAATTTAGAATTGCCATGTAACGCAGCAAACTCGAAGTTTACTAAATCTCTTAATGGCCTGAGTCACATACAGTCATTTTTTCTGTTGCAGTTCCGCTGAACAGGCAGAAAAGAAATCTTTGGCAATTCAAAAACATGATTAAATGTGCTACTGACAGGAGCGCTTGGGACTACAACGGCTACGGAAATTGGTGCGGAGCTGGAGGCAGTGGAACTCCTGTTGATGGAGTGGATAGGTTAGAATCACGAGCCACCTCCTTATTAGAGGGTTCAAAAACTTAGAAATAGATTGATGGATAAATTGCTAAAGAAATATGGGTCTCACTCTGAAAGCATTTCATATGAAAAAATTATTTCAGTAAAATTAGCAATAGTTTAATAAAATCTGATTTTTATCGCACCAAGATGCTGTAAAGCCCACGATCAGTGCTACGACAGAAACCAAAAATGTAACCCAAAATGGAATTCCTACAAATACTCAAGATCTGGAAAGGGTGCCAGTTGCCGCATCACATGTCGTAAGTCATTTATTCATGTATAGACACTTATAAATAATTCTACTGGACATGCTTTGGGAATAAAGTATTATTTACTATGAGCATGCGCTGGAGTGCGCAATGGAAAAATATGGCGCTTTGAATTCTGTAAATATCATGTAATAATTCAATTTATCATATCATTATCTATGAAATACCTAGATTTATCATATAATTATCTATGAAATATCTATATTTCTCCATTTCGTAAACTGGATATTTTCACTAGTGAAAATAACACATTCGCGATTTCTCTATATAGTGAAAGTAAGAAAAAAAGCTATTTTACGACATAATTTGCTCTCATATACAATATATGATAAATAGAATATTACATGTTCGCTTGGAGATGCGAATTTTATCTTCTCGCCTAGAAAATTCGCTACGCTCACTCGTGAGAGATCTTTTCAACACGAGAAGATACAATCCGTATCTCCGCGCGCCCATGTAATATCCTCTATTTACAAGATATATACATGAAATTCACAGAGTTCAAGTCGCGCGATTTTTTCCCAGCGATACGATATAAAGATCTCGAGTCTTCAAATTTTGAGATTTAAAATGGGAGAAAAATTGGACTTTGGAAGCTATTTAAAGTTTCTCTGCACAAGATGATAAAAAACAATGTATCATTGTGTGCGTATATCGTAGGGAGTGTCATAACTTTGACGCGGTTTGTGAGAGATTAGAGAGCATCAAACGTTGCTTAGGATAAAATTACCCTTAATTCTCCAGCCCTCCCCCCGTAATAAACCAACCTTACCTTGAAAAGAATAGAAAGCAAGTGCATGAACAACATGGTATACAAAATCCCAAGTGAATCTGAGCATCTGGAGCATAGCAATGACTATGAGGTGTAAATYTTTGTAAAATCACCCAGTAATGAGATATTGTTTAAAAATGTATGGCCAATTACTGAAATACTGCAGTATGCTGAACTATAATTTTGTCGTTTTTAGATAACTATCCCAAAAACGACCGTTGTGAGTTGAATGTTTGCTACTGCGACAAGATCGCTGCAGAGTGCTTTAGACGACACCCTTACAACAAAAAACACAAGAATTGAAATGACTACACATGCCAGAAATACATGGATATAGAAACATAGAGAACTCGTGTTAAATGAATAAAGAAGCATTAGAAAATGAATATCAGGACGTGTACTTTTTGGTGTCATTTTCAAGTCATTTGATCAACTGAATAGGCCAGGACGGCCAGGCTTTCTGATACTCTAAAAATGTCAGTATCCTGGAATATCATATAATATTTGGCATTCCACTATCCSAGGCATATAAGCCTTGATGACAGAGACTTCTTGTCATCTTGTACTACTGTAATGGTTAAGGTATCATTATATCATAATACAAACAAAATGGAAATGGTTTAAGACGTAGGAACCACGTATAACATCAATTAGCCAGAGGCAGAGAACAAATAAAATTAGAACATAAAAGACCACCAATTTACCAACYGATGGTCTTAATTTTATCAAAAATATTCATAAATCGTAATTCTATAGGCAGGGATGGAGATCTKATCTATCATTTTCTATATCATAAGACCTCGAATTCTAGCTTTTCTGCATTACTGTACATTTCATTATAAAAGGATAACGAGAAGGAGTGGTTAGCCTTGGTTGGTTGAAGTTTTTTCTTTTCAACCCACTTTTGAAAAATTCTGTGCTTCTCCGGTACATCTATGTACCCTTTGAAAGAGGACTTAAATGGAGAAACCATAGGCATTCTTACGTTTCCCCCCTTCGTTTCTTTAAAGAGAAAATAAAAAAGACAAAAAACAAAGGGAAAAAGAGGGTGTGTTTCACGTTTCTATGACCGTGCAACGTAAGACGTGGAATTTACCAAACATCGTCTCTTTCGATACAAGTTTTATAAGTTTTTTATAAGTTTTAGCAAGTAGCTATATTATCAGAACTCCTCCTTCGATATAGGTAATTAATCGTGTCGATCTGACGTAGGGAAGAGGCCCAGTATTTTTTGGAGATGACAATATTTAGTTTTCCTTGTTCACAAAAATAATAATAACAATAATAACAATAATAACGACATACATAATAACGATATCCTTGAGACTTTTATTTAGAAAACGTGCTCACTGTCCGTTGGCATTGAAAATTTACGTCGTTCCAAAACAGAGCCATGGATACAGAGATCAAGCACACTTTTTTATAGAACTGTATCTCTCCTTTTAATTTCTCTTTAATTTTTATACGGGATTATAAGATATTCTTGATGATTGGTGAAGGGAGGGGACATCCCATTCAGTATCATAATTCTCTATAAAAAATAAAGAGAACTGAAGGAGAGATCCAAGTCTACAATTCATGTTTCCATGGAACGACGCAAATTTTTAATGCCAACGGACAGTAAGCACGTTTTCTAAATAAAAGACTTTAYTTYGTTCCCATGACTCTGCTTTGCAACATCGCGAATTCACCGTACGAACGCACGAAATGCTTGTACCTGTCAATCAACCAATCAGTCATCGATGGGGTGGAGCTTCTTTTGTTTTCACATGTTCATATATGACAAACCAGAAAAAGTTAACATCACACTGCAAGGGAAGGTCTTAGGCAGGACAGTCAACGCACGTCAAGAGGTTCACAAGCTATCACCTACTCCATAGATCCGAAGACTCTTATACCACACGATGCACTGTTACAAGCTGGGATTGGAAATGCTAGTAATCGTACTCGTTGCGTTTCATCCAGGGAATGGTAATCCGAGGCACTTGAAAGCTGAAAAGGTATGGTTTAAGCCATTAAATTATTACAAAGATTTTTTGAAGTCTCGGCGAAAGCTATTTAAAAAGCTTTTTTCTATAAAATGTGACAATAATATAGATGCTTTTTGATTTATCCTATCCAACCAATTTGCTTAAAGTCAACACGTACTTGAAAGAGAAATGAAAGGAAAACTAAGTTTTAATTGTATYTGAATCTCCTGTTCCTCTTTTGTGCAATAACGGTGCTTCGTCCTCGATTAGCGTGGTAAAATAAGTACTACAAAAAAGGGACAATACATCTATTTAATTATATCCTTTGAATAAGTTGGAAAAAAAAAACAACAATAAAACACCAGATTTAATGGACATCGGATTTCGGTTCAGTTTATCAAATTTAATATAAATTAATTTCTATTCAAAAACGAATAATATAGTGCTGTGTGCACTACAGTATTTTTATTTTATCAGTTAAGATCGTTCACTTTTGTCTCTTCAGGGCTATTTGAAATCAAAGTTTGCAGCAGGTAAGCAACAATCAACAATCCACTCCCCTTTCTGCCATCCCCCCCAGCCCCCTTAGCTCGATAAATGTTTGGGCTTTTTCAAAAGGCCCAAAGGTAGCATTAAGGTAACATTATTGATCATTTACAAAGTTATTATTAATTCAATAGCTCATAAGAGAAACCTTCTACAGTTTGGTTTCATGGTTTCCTGTGCTACGGGAAGGTCGTCTTTTGAATATAATAACTATGGTAATTTTTGTGGATATGGTGGAGGTGGAACTCCTGTTGATGACATAGACAGGTGGGTGCTGTCTTTTTACGCAGGCATAAGTACTAAAACTTAAAGAATCCTCTGCGTTTACTTGATATATATGTGGGTGCTTGTTTATATCCACAGACAACAAAAACGCAACACAAACGCCGTCGTACCATAAAGTATGCGTAATGATTATACGTAGCAGGACAGACGCATATACGTAAAACTAATGAAACCAAACTTACATAAACGAAGTGACTCATGGTGACACAACAGTAAAAAGGATGTATAGAATATTGATATTGAATGTACGTATAACAGAAATGCGGATGTACACGTAACGCAACAAATGTGCAACAACGACAGCAATTTCATTAAATAGCGCCACAATGACCTTGTCAAAACGTAACTCGGACGTAACAAGCACGTAACTTTTGTTGAAGAAATAGGGCAATGATTACAGTGTAGAATATACATTGGATGTTGTGTGCGCAAAAAAAAATAAAAAAATAAAAATAAAAAAATAAAAAAATAAAAAAATAAAAAAATGAAAAAATAAAAATAAACAAACGCAGCGCAAAAGTATAACAAAAACGTAACTGTTTGTTAAAGAAATAGAGAAATAGTGCAATGGTTACATTTAGAATATATCATGCATGTTTTTTTGCGCAAAAACGCCGCAACACTGGCACAAAAATAAAGACAACATTCAATCTTCTGATAACTTTACCGCGCAGGTGCTGTCAAGAACATGACAACTGCTATGGTAGAAATGAAGACTGTGCATATTATAGTTTATCGTATGACTCGGGATACATCAAACAATATAGGACGGCCACTCAAAAGTGTGTCCTGAAATGCGGTAAGTCAGTGTTGGGTCCACGTTACATACGGCGGCGGCTTACTAAAGAAAAAAATATCAAATATTAGGTTTAGGACTGCGACGAAAAAGACATGAATGCTGTTTTTTCAAAATGAGTTCCATTTAGATTGAACTTCTTATTCTATTTATTTAMATAATGATTTCTATTTATACCTCCTTGATCCCTGAAAAGGGGGCGTCTAGCCATCCTAATACCCCTCCCTGGACACGCCCTTGGATATGTTGAGCATTACATCACTTTCTATGTAAAGGCCCTATTTAAAGGAGTTTAGGGGCGGATCTTTGAACGGTACGACGTTTTTTTATCTTAATAACCTTAAACTATCTTATTTATCTTTAGATGACACTGAAAAGTGCAAGTTCAATATATGTGAGTGTGACAGAATAGCTGCGGAATGCTTCGCTAAGTACCGTTACAATCCAAAACATAAGACATATTGGTATCAATATCTTTGGGGCAGACGATGACGGTAATGCCTAGAGGACAAACCTGTGGTGCAGCTAGACTACAATATATAAATTTGAAATTAAAATGTAATAGACTGATGCCATAAGTCATAGTATTCGCTCCTCGATTTTTCGAGAAAATGGTACCGACTTAAGGAATCAGTCTAAAAATGTAATGGATTAATATAAAGTTGAAAGAATAAAGGGTAACATGTAAATCGTGTCTTTATTGACTGATGTAAAAGCGAGAACGAAAACACATTGCACATCTTATTTCAAAAAAGCTGGATATAAGAAGGGAAAGACTGACTGTATAACATATTTTTCACGATGAAAAAGAATTCTAAAAGTGACTTCCTTTTCCCCTGAGAAATAACAACAACAACAACAACAACAACAACAACAACAACAACAAAGAAAGTAAACGGAATATAGATAGTTAATTTGCATTGAAACTTGAAAGAACGTAAAACAGTTCATTCATATTGTATCCCTTGAAATATTGCTTAAAACCATGACAAAATTGAAATATTCTGATTAAATCAGAAAATTTAGGCCAGTCAACACTTTGCATACTTTTCACCTAATAATTTTTCGTGTTATTTTACCGTACTATTAGACCAATACAGAGATCTATGAAAAGTTAAATAATATATTCACATCGCTAGTTGACAGACACAAACCCTTCAGTTTAATCTAATCTGGGAATCGCACCCAGTCCTCCTGACAACTACACAAGTAGATGTCAAGCGTGCACTCTTACACTAACTAGATTTTGTGGTGGGTTGGAGTCGGGGCGTCTTAGTGATGTGTTGAAGGAATTATCAGGAAACTTCTGCCACTAATAATAAATGTACAAATAATCTAGTGATTGAGTCTAAAGGATGGATTATCTTGATTTCATCTCTTGTCACAGTACAGCCAGACACGAAAACCCCCCAAAAAACCACTCCCAGTGAGTGGAAAAAAAGGGGCACGTGTTATCATCTTACCAAGAACCAGCACCTTTGCTTCTCTAGTAAACCATTGGTACTTTTGCTGCTTTGGAAACATCTTTTCTCTTCATTGTTCAAATGCCAATAATATTTTCTTCTCTTTACGTCATTTGTCTCTGGTATCCAACTCCAGCATCTTCAGCTTCATGTACATGCATTCAGTCAGAATCTTGTCTGCATTCAGGATCTTTCAGTTGGATGTCGTCCAGGAACTTTGCTCTGTATTCATCAGAAGGAATGTTCTGGCCAGTGACAGGGTGACCTATTGCCTTAGTATTCACCCAAGAAGGGTTAAGCTAAGGGGAAGTAGATGCCGGCAAATCTGCTTCCCCCCATCTGAACCCCTCTCAGTCAAACACTCTGGCAACATGTTACCCAATCACTGGTCAAAGCATTCCCGCCAATGAAAAGGAAAGCCAATAGTACTGCTGCTTGGTGCCTGATGTAGGACTGGGTGTCATAATATAGCTTTAACCAGGTAGGCCATAATACATACTATGATCTTCATTAAGGACCATTAGAGCCAGATATACCACTTACCATATGGTTTGCCAATGTTCAGCTATGCCTATACTACCAGATGTCATTCTCTACAATCTGTTGCCATAGGATGTCATTCTTACCTTCTGTTGCTATAGGATGTCATTGATCTCTACCATCTGTTGCTATAGGATGTCATTCTTACCATCTGTTGCTATAGGATGTCATTCTATACCTGTATCTAGTGCCGAATTGTGTCTTTAATAATTGCTATTACTCACCATGCTCTACCATCTGTTGCCATAGGATGTCATCAGTTATACCATCTATTGCCTGATACCAGCATGCTATATTTTCCTTTTAATTTCCATGGAGTTTCGGGCCATTTTCTCCAATACTGAGCGATTTATTGACGATTGCTCATCAGACGTTCAATATTAAAGAAAATAGCTGGAAACTTCAAAGAAATACAAATTAAAATACAACACACATGTAGAGAACTATGCCATGACTTCTATAGGGGTGTCTTGCTATACCAACTTGAATCTAGTGCCAGCATATGTACACACCATCTCTTTGTCTAACACTGTTTTCTTTTGCTGCCAATTGAGGTCATAAACTATATCTGTATCTAGTGCCATACTGCATCTTCTATTGTCCATACTACCATGTCTACCAATGTCAATCTATGATACCATCTGTTGATATAAGATACTATACCTGGATATATAGTGCCATATAAGTGCATCACCTATACCATGT